ATGTATTTTTCTTCTTCTTGAATTCTGTTACTGCGTGGAATCACATTGATTTTTTTTAAACATCAGATTTATCTTGGATCCTTGGGGAAATGGTGTGCTTTCTTCTTAACATACTGCTAAACAACTAGCTCAGATTTGTGGGAGAATTCTTTTTACATCTGTGTTTGAAAGGAGTGGGAGTCTGTTATTGTGCTTCTGTTGGGTTTTGGAGTTTGGATTTTGCTGTCTCATCAAGGTAAGAAGTGTAGTGGAAATGTTTTGTGTTCGTAAGGGTCAGAAATATGTGGAAAGTCACACACGACCCATGAGGTGGAAATAAATTGGTTTTGCCCCTCCAAATGTTCCAGGCTATACACTTTGGAATTTGTCAAAGGCTTTGAAATAATGGTAATGAGATGGTGTGCTGGCCAGGCTTACGTGTGGAAGAAAGTAGGATCAGCAGAAAGTGAGGCAGTCATAGCCACTGCTAAACTAAGTTAGCTGTGGACAATTGCTTCAGACATAACACACTTCCTGTTTCCACTTGTACAAAGCTTTTCCTTTAGAATATTGCTTTTCTTTGTTTTATAACATTGAGGAGGAGGAGGTGGTGGAGGAGAAGGAGGTGGAGGAGGAGAAGAAACTGGGCAGAGGTGATGGTCCATTCTGCAAAGTATTGCTGCAGGAGTCTCAGGAACCGAGTTCAGGTCCCCAGCACACGTATAAAAGCCAGTCTCAGCAGGATATGACTATGTGATCCCAGTGCTGGGCCTCAAAGAGACAGACAGGTTTCTGAAGCTCTCGGGCTGGTCAGGCCAGCTGAATAGGTACTCTCCAGGCTCTGTGAGAGATCTTGTCTCAAACAGTAAGATGGAGGGTTCTAGAGGGAAGCGCCTGACACTGACCTTGCTTCCACAAATGCATGCAGATAGGTGTTACACATACTCACACAGAAGAAGTTAATAGTTACGAAATTCCAAAGAATATATAAAAGGCAACAGTCTTTATGAGCAGGCTTCCCCACCAGCCTGGTCCCACAGCCGTGCCAGCCCCAAATAACACACAGAGACACTGTATTAGATATAAAGCTGTTGGCCGGTTACTAGTGTTTCTTATGGGCTAGCTCTGTCTTAAATATTGACCCATTTCTATCAATCTAAGTGTTTCCACATGGTCTTATCTTACCGGAGAGAGGGTCTGGAGTTCTTCTTTCTTGGTCTTACATGTCGAATCTCTTACTACCTCCTCCTCGAATCCTCTTTGTCTCCTAGTCCCGCCTATCTTGCTTTCCTATTGGCCAACAGTGCTTTATTCACTAACCAATAAGAGAATCATATTTATAGGATGACATCTCCCATCAAACAGTGTTATGGGAAGAAAAAGTATGCACCAGCCAAGTGTTTCCTAAGTTTGTATGTTGACGTGTAGATTACTTTGAGAGATAAAAGAAATTTGTGGGTATCATAAGTTGACTTTTTATTTTTATTGTAATGTTATCTCAGAGTTGTAAACAAAAAGGGACTCTGCTTGTTTTCACACAATTATAAAAGCAACACAAGTTAAACAGTAAAAGGTCAAACTTTGAAATCAAGGGAATGCAAATGAATAGCGTGAGTTTAATATGACATTGTTTTGCTGGAACTGAGCAAATTCTTGACCATCAAATGACCCCGGCACCAGATGTAAGTGAGCATAGGTTCATTTTCGTTTGGCAGGCCTGAGATATCCAGTGTATGTGGTGACATCTTCTCTGCCATTTTCTCCATTTGAGATTGCATGCACTGTTGGGTCATCTGTCACTCGCTGCGTTCCTTACGTGTAAACCACCTCTGTCTCAGCTATTTTTGATTTATGCAGAATTTAGGAAAAAAAACTTTCGCTAGTTATCGGTGGCTATACGATGATACGTAAGGGCCTACTCCAGATGATGTGGAATAAGAGATTATTAATTTATTTTGAGATATCATGAAAGCATTCACAATTTACAAACTTAGAGGACTATAGACATGCAAAAAACACAAATTATCCTTGCATCCAGCAGCCCAGCATTCAACATCTCCAGGGCTCAGCTGTTCAAGTGCATAGCATGCCTGATGCCCCAAGTGTTATCCCTGGCACCATGCAAACTTCTTGTGATTCCAAAACCAGAGGTTTAAGCAAAAGTATTAGAAGTTCAAGGTTTATCCTCAGCTACAAAAGGAGTTTAAGGCCATCCTGGGGTTCATAAGACCTTGTAATTAGAAAAGAAATTGCGGACAGTGATAGCTCAGACCTTTAATTCCAGCACTTGGGAGGCAGAGGCAGGTGGATCTCTGAGTGCAAGGCCAGCCTGGCCTGCAGAGTGAGTTCCAGGACAGCCAGAATCCTGTCTCAAAAAGCAAAGGAGGGAGGGGAGAGAGAGGTTTTAAATAGAAAGCTCTAAGTATTGACCAGGGCATTTCCCACCAAGAGTCCTAGATTCTCAGAGTAGGGCAGTGACATGGGCTTGGGAAGAGCTGTGTGGAGAGCACATCGGGAGTACTTGATGAAGTGGCAGGCGTCTCTGGAGCGGCTGCATGGCTCACTCTGAGAGGCTAGAGGGCCTGCTTCCTGCACTCACTCTGAACCTGCAGGTCTCAGAGACCACACACAGAGGCATGGACCCGGATGAAAGTACATGAAAGTGCCTCACAGCTCCGTGCAAAGTAGAGTAGATTCCCATCTGGAAACTTGGTTAAAACAAGGCACTTGTTTTAGCTACTTTGTGTGCCCTTTATGTTTGTGCTCTGTAAAAAAAAAACTGTTTCTGAGGTTCTGGTAACAATATCTGATACCCAATCTTCCCTCCTAGGAATTAAAAGTAGTTTATTACATTTTGATTTATTTTGTGTGTGTTTAGGGAAGGTGAGAGAATGCTATGGTGTGGAGGTCAGGGGACAGTTTGTGTTCTCTCCACGCACCATGTGGGTTCCAGGCACTCAGTTCATCATGCTGGGCAGCAAACACCTTCACCTGCTGAGCCATCTCAGTGGCCCCCTAGCAAAAAACGTAAGAGTAAACACAGGGTCAGTAACCTTGGATGGGTTCTCATAAGGAAGACCTCTCAACTTGCAGAACATACTCAGCTTGAAGCTGGAATTCTGTTCTCATCGAGTAGCAACCACCTCCTTCCTCTACCCTCAACCCAACAGCCTTCTGTGAGTTGGGGCGTTTATCATCGTTAGGCGAGTGGAATCACGTTTGTTTTTCCTTCGGATGCTGACTCAATTCACTGGGCTTAATGTCCTCAAGTTCCTTCTATATTGTCACAGTTTGCAAGGCTTTTCATTTTTCCTTTTTATGGCAGAGTAATATTCCACACACCCTTATAAACCCACTGCCGTACATTTCAGCCCCACACGGCCCACCAGGGTGCTTTCTTTCTTGTCCGTTCTATAAGCTCTTGCTGCTTCCCAAATAAATGCCTTCCATCAGTTGAGAATGGTGAGGGACCGAGCTTGAGTAGGGACTTGCTTGGGATCTGATCCATAACATGCTAGTTTTCTGCTAGTCACTGGCATAACTGCTTAGCAGCTGCTGTGGGCCACTTCATCAGTGGGTTCTAGAAGGTTCCTTCACTTCACTAACTCTAGAGAAACCCCTTTATATGGGTTGTGACAGTTACTTCTAGGTGTTAACTTCGCCACAGCCTGGAACTCCCCAAGGAGAGTCTTCATGGAGTTAAGGTCTTTTCAGGCTGCTCTGCAGGTGTTTTCTGGTGGCTTGTCTAAATTGTAGATTGTAGGAAGACCCAGCCCGCCAGAGTGGAAGTATTCCTAAGTGAAGGAAAGTAAAGCTACCAAGCACCGAGCATTCATTTCTCTCTGCTCTTGGCGGTGGGTGTGATGTGAGAAGAAGCTGTTTCAGACCCATATTGGCTTCTCCTTGAAGACAGACTGTAAGCCTATCTTCTGGAATAGTAAGGCCAAGTGAGCCCTTTGCAGTTTTTTTTTTTTTTTTAATTAGGGTGCTTGTTACAACAACAAAGAAACAAGAGCCTACAGCACCGGGTGGTGAGCCTAGAGCTCTGGTCCCCAGTCTAGAGCGTGGGTCCTGAGCTCAATTCCCCTTGTCAGTTTACTTGAAACTTCCCCATTGACCCAGGCAGCATGTGCAGCCTCCCCATGGAATCTGCTTCCTGGAAACTCCTACCCAGGCCACACAAGAGCAGCCCACAGTGGGCAGCGCTGGTTTTTCAAGCAGCCTGGGCATGAAGAGCCTGAGCAGAAGGCAGCATATGCCCTTTGTTATTTCTTATGCCTGTGGTGTGCAAGCCCAGAGAAATTGTATCCAAAACCCTAGCTGAATTTTCCTAATCAGGAACTTCAGTGTCCACAGAGCCTACATTTTGAGTGTGGTGAGCTCAGTGGTAATTGAGGTTTGCAAAATGTTATGTGCCTTATTCTAGTGTTCTTCCAGTGGCCCGTGAGCCGAAACTTAGACAGAAACTCTCTGGAGTTGCTTCTTCCTGTTTAGAGAGGCTGGCATAATATTTTGTCTTCTGGGCTCAAATAACCATGTAATTACTCTGTAATCATATAGTAATTAGTATGTTCTATACGCATTTATTACATAATTATATTCCTGGAGGATTGCATTGCAATTATACTTGCATTCAGCATATCATTTTATATGCTGTATCACGAACAAGTATATAATTTGTTGCTGTTTTCTTTGATCCTGATTTCAGTTTACCAAGCAGGAACTGGAAACATTTCTCCGGTTGCCCTTTTTACTAGTAGCTGGGCAGGAGCCCGAGTTCCCCAGGCCTGGATCCCAGCTCCACAAAGATATCTAGGGATGTGTAGGGTCTACTGTAGGCTCTTAGCCTCTGCACCCTATCATGTTCCCTTTGTCATGGACTGTTAATGTTACCAGGTTTGAAACTCGGTGAATTCTAGAGTGTATGCATGGCCAGGTGAATGGCGATGGGCCAGCGCAAATGTCTGTGGGAACACTCGGGAGCCAAGCCCTGTGCTCACTCCTCTCTCTCTGCTTTGCAGTGGAGCACATTTCCAAAGGGAACAACTGCCTGGATGCGGCCAAGGCCTGCAACCTGGATGACACCTGCAAGAAGTACAGGTCAGCCTACATCACCCCGTGCACCACCAGCATGTCCAACGAAGTCTGCAACCGCCGCAAGTGTCACAAGGCCCTCAGGCAGTTCTTTGACAAGGTCCCCGCCAAGCACAGCTACGGGATGCTCTTCTGCTCCTGCAGGGACATTGCCTGCACTGAGCGACGGCGGCAGACTATCGTTCCTGTGTGCTCCTACGAGGAACGAGACAAGCCCAACTGCCTAAATCTGCAGGACTCCTGCAAGACAAACTACATCTGCAGGTGAGTGTGCCAGCAGCCGGCGATTGACGAGGGAGCTTTGGCCCACTGCTCTGGCTCCCAGGCCCCTGTGCTGCTCCCAGGACGGGTGGGAGCCCTGAGTGGAGCGGTAAGAGTCTGACCTCTGCAGCTGCAGCCTGGGAGGTGGATCATGTCTTTAACTGGGGAATGCTTTTGAGACAGAAGGGGGAAGTCCCCGGCTAACAGGGAGCCCTCTAAGGTGAGGGACGCCCACACCTGGGTGAGGCTAGGCTGTGGCATGTGCCCACTGGGGTCCCCAGGGGATGCCAAGCCTGGAAAGAAGCTTGCCAAGGATAGAGACTCTGGACCTGCAGGTGTGGCACACTGGAAGAAGCCAGACAGCGGGAGTTGGCTGTGCCCAGCCTATGTGTGTGTGTGTGTGTGTGTGTGTTCTGGAGAAAGGGGTGCGGGGGTTAATGTTGTAGAGAATGTTCCTTTCTTGGGTTGACTATTTATTGGTTTATTTTTAACATTTGGAGGAGTCCAGAAACACATTCTCTGTGGGGAGGAAGGGGTGTGAGGGTGGGGTGGGGCAGGGGGTGGAGATTGGGGGATGTATGGCACTAATAGGTCCTTCCCATCCCAGTCCCCAGCCCTGCTGCGTCCTTCCAGAACTTAGAGCTAGAACGCAGTGGGCACCAGTGAGCAGAAATTAGCTCTGCGCACTGAGGCTTGCTGTGTCTCTTTCAGAAGAGCATACCGAGCTGTAGACTTCGGCGGGCCAGCATGTCTCTCTTTGTCCGCGGGGTCATGTGCAGGGGACTTCAGAGCCTCTGAAAATCCCTTGTGCTAGGTGGGCAAGCGATGGGTGAAGGCACAAGGTGCTTTACTTGTTTTATAATAATAGATTCTCTGTTTCTAAAGACTAGAGATCAAGACGGAACATGCGCCTGGTGTGTTAGTTCTGATTAGCTATTAATCTTACTCTGGCGGGATGGGACTCCATTCTCCCTTTAAATAAACTCTAATAATAATGGAAGGAAGCGAAAGTCCTCATGTATAACTGTCTCGTGCTAAAGATGTTTTCCTCCCGCCCTCCCTCCCCCTTTTATTCTTCCCTCCCCCCTTTCTGTACATGTGTATGTACACACGCATGCGCCAGGCTTGTCTTTGTCACATGAGTTCTGGGTTCACACTCAAGCCCTCTTGATCGCAGGACGAGCGCACCGACTGAATTTTCTCCCAATGCCTTGTTAAATAGTTTCTGAGAATAATGGCCACACATGTGTGTGCTGTTGTTTGCTTTGTTGAAAGAAGTGATCTGTTGTTCCTGGAGGGGCTTGGGTGAAGCATTACAGGGGCAGTTGATGTGTGGAGAGGACCCACTCTACTTCCCAGCTACCGGCCCCACAGGGTCGTCTTGGGAGAGATGGGTTGTCCTGAGCATAGGGTAGGCCCCAGCAAACCAGGAACCTGGAAAGCAAATGTAGCTGAGGGCAGGGAAGGGATGGAAGGCAGACCTCACGTGAAAAGATGGGAAGGCTCGGGAATTCCGAAGAACCCTTACCTTTGAGCAGAAGGGATCCCCTTGTGTGAACAGGACTTGACTTCTAGTGTGTTCTTTGGCTTAGAACCTGACAGTTCAACCCTAAGGTATGTTCATACCCACTGCTGAGTAGAGAAAGGAGGCCTGGGCTCTGAGTCCTCCTGGGGAAGTAAGAAGGACATCTTCCATTGAGTAGTGGCTGGCCAAGGAGGCGAATTCTTCTCTTAAAGATTTCTGTTGCACACGACTTCGGGGAAGGTCTGTGGAACACACCTACCAGGCATCTTGAATTTGCACTCACACACTGCCATGATCTGCTTGTAATGATACACTCCTTGGATTGGTGTAAATGTGTTACATCGCTCTGGACTCCCGCTCAACTGGGGAGGAGAACTGGGAACTTGAAGACTTGGGGGCCTCCGGGGAAGTGGCAGGAGAATCCTGCAGATAATACGATGGTCTGGCTGCTCTCTGGGACCTCAGCCTTTCCCCACACAAGAGCAAGTTCAGGAAACGGAGAGACACTGCCATGGTTCAGCCGACAGGACCGAAGTGGAAATTGCAAGACAGTCCTTGCCTGAAAGTAACCCTGCCAAGGCCAGAGTGGACAGAAGCCATAACGACACAGTGGGGTGGCAGCCCTGTGGGCACAGTGACATCTGGGGTGGTGTTGGCACCACTGTCGCTGATGTTCCCGATAGGACCCAGAGGCCATGTGAGAGCCAGAGCTAGGCCTACCAGGGAGCCCCACCAAGGGAAATTTCTGTCCACGTGACTGATCGTGACTGATGGCTTTTCTACCCTGTCTTGAGCCTCTCCCCGGAAGGTGACGTCTCTCTCTCTCGGGTGTTACCTCTTTAAGTTATCTAGCCCATGACCTCTTTCCAGAGCCTGGATTTACTTCTCAAGATCACCCACTCCTTGCCCAGTGTGGGTGAGTGTAATCGGAGCCGCCACATTGGCTGGCCCTGTTTTCCTTCGGTAGATTTTATTAATCTTGTCTGTAATTTTATGCTGTTACTTCATGCCTTCTCAATCCAGCTTAAGGAAGCCTCCATAAACCTACCCAGGGCAGCAGCTGGTGGTGGCTGGAGCCTGGGGCTCTGTGGGCTCCCTGCTGTAGTCACCTACCCCTCTAAGCCCAACCCTGACTCTGCAGAGATGGCTGAAGGGCTTGTGTGTGTGAACATCCCTGACTGGAAGGGATAGCAGCAGGAAACACCATGTGTTAGCCACACCCTCTCCCCCCAATCTTCAGACTTTCCAAAGAGCCCTTCCTGGCTTAACATCCTTGCCTATCACAGAGCTGCTCAAACTGATTAAAACATGCTTTCCTACTGCAGCCTTCAGGTTTCCTTCCCAGGGGTCCCAGGGTACCTCTGCATAAAACCCACTCTCTCTGCCTTGAGCCTTCAAACACATACAAAGCAACTTTGTTTTCCTTCCCCCCTTTCTTCTTTAGTGAAACTGACAGGCTCCTTTCCTCTTGGGGTGAATGGGGAAGGAGTAAGCTTGACTGCTCAGGCCTCCAAGCTTCTCTGGAGCAGTGCACGCACCGCACCGAGGAGGTGTTAAGAGATAGATGGCTGTGATGAAACCTGAAAGATCCTCGCTCCTCCCCTGGAGCACAGCGGCTCCCCTGGAGCACCACAGCTCACATGCTGGCTTCCTTCTGGTTGTTTCCCTTACTGCCCGGAAGGCTGACGGTTCCTAGTGTGGCCCAAAGGAAGCGCATCCTTCATTACCTATGCAAATTACGCTGTATACATTATTTAAATTTATACTCTGCCTGCTCCTTCTCTTCCTCCCAAATTCCAACATTCAAAGTTTAAGCTCTGCACTTCAGGTCTGACTCAGGGTAGCAGAGATTTGCTTCGGTTGCTCTTGGCTCTCTAATTAATCACTGGGGTGCTTGGATTCTCTCAACGCCGGGAGGGTGTCCTCTGTAGCATGCAGCTCCAGCCATCTCTGAGGAGTCACGGAGGTGATGCCATCCCCAGTCTTCCTCCAGTGCCAAGCAAAGAGGGAGCCCACGGCCACCTGTCTGTGGCCTTCATTACTGCTCCGCATTTCCCTTGTTGAGCGGCTGGGGATGAAACTATCACTCTGTGTGAGCAGCAGAGACACTGAAACCTTGGGTATCCAAGTATGCACTAAGGCATTGTGCCTCAGAGGGCTGGGGTCTGAGGGCCTCAGCCAGAACCAGCTGTCCACCATGGACAGTGTCCAGGTTCCCCTTTGCCTGGCAGAATGCCCCTCCGGGGTAAGTGTTTTCTCTGCATTTAGCAATGCTGGGTCATGATTACCTACCTACTTCCCTCTAGACTGTTCTAGTAATGTTGAACATCAGAAGGAAGCTGGATGTGGTGGTGCACACCTTTAATCTCAGCATTCAGGAGGCAGAGGCAGACAGATACCAGGCATCTGTGTGTTTAGTCCAGCCTGTACTCATAAAAGTAAAATAAATAAATCTAAAGTATTTTTTAAGGGAGGGAGTCAGGGGCTTCAGTACCTCTGTCTCTGAACTTCTCCTGGCCCTCTGGAGATATTTCTCCTCCAGGGGCCCAGCAATAGTGTAACGAGAACTCTTTCCTGCCGGCCTGGTCTCACAGCCATATCAACCCCAAATAAACACACAGACACTATATTAGTTATGAAACAGTTAGCTGGTGGCTTGGGCTTCTTAATGGCTAGCTCTGTCTTAATTATTAACCCATAACTACCAATCTATGTATTTCTACGTGGTCTTAACTTACCGGAGAATGCCTGACTCTCATCTTCTCTTCCTGGGCTCATGTGACAACTCTTCTCTGCCTACACTTCCCAGAATTCCCCTTGTCTTCTAGTTCCACCTCTCCTCCTGCCCGGCCAATCAGTGTTTTACTCATCAACCAATAAACAAACATACATACAGAATGACATCTCCCATCACTGTAGGTCCTCATAGTCTACAAAGTAGTAGCTTGATGAGATCGCCAGGTATATGGTTCTTCCTTCCCTACGGACTTAGGATCTTATAATTACATCTGAGACACCCAGGAAATTGTCACAGAACCAAGAAGGCACCTGTCCCTTGGTACAGCTCTAGAAGAACCATGCATTGCGATTTCTGAGCTCCTACTCTAATTAATGCCTCATTTGCCATACATGGGGTGACCCTTTTACACATAAAGAAAGTGTGGCCTTGTTACCTAGTTCAGTGGCAGGTGAGCACCTGTTTAAGATGAGAGAAATGTTTCATTACCAGGAATGAGGCCCTTTGTGTACCCTAAGCCCTGTGGGTCCCATCGACCAAGGCTCTCTCTACTTCCCAATGGAAATCAGACAATGCAAGCTTTTGAACTGGGGAAAGGAAGGTTCGGGAATATGAGAGAATATAAGTAAAACGTCTTCCAGTCCATTTGAACAGCTTTCATTTCAGGTGAGTACACAAGTGTCTTTAGCAGTGCATTCCGAGTGCCAAACCGCTCGCTGGTTCTTAACGCACCCCACCTGG